CCCGAGTGTCCTACACATCTGAAAAACTCTATGAACACTAATTTGGACATGTTGAAAACTAATCAGGAATCAGATTTGATCCAAGACTTTTCGTTAAAATTTTCAAAAATAGCAATTCATGTTGATATAAGGTTAGTTCAAGTGGAAAAATATTTTTTCTCCCCGACTGTCCTACACATCTGAAAAACTCTATGAACACTAATTTGGACATGTTTAAAACGAATCAGGAATCAGATTTGATCCAAGACTTTTCGTTAAAATTTTTAAAAATAGCAATTCATGTTGATATAGGTTAGTTCAGGTGGAAATTTTTTTTTTCTCCCCGAGTGTCCTACACATCTGAAAAACTCCAAGGACACTAATTTTGACATTTTAAAAACGAATCAGGAATCAGATTTGATCCAAGACTTTTCGTTAAAATTTTCAAAAATAGCAATTCATGGTGATATAGATTAGTTCAGGTGGAAAAATATTTTTTCTCCCCGAGTGTCCTACACATCTGAAAAACTCCAAAGACACTAATTTTGACATGTTAAAAACGAATCAGGAATCAGATTTGATCCAAGACCTTTCGTTAAAATTTTCAAAAATAGCAATTCATGGTGATATAGGTTAGTTCAAGTGGAAAAATATTTTTTCTCCCCGAGTGTCCTACACATCTGAAAAACTCTATGAACACTAATTTGGACATGTTGAAAACGAATCAGGAATCAGATTTGATCCAAGACTTTTCGTTAAATTTTTCAAAAATAGCAATTCATGGTGATATAGGTTAGTTCAAGTAGAAAAATATTTTTTCTCCCCGAGCGTCCTACACATCTGAAAAACTCCGAAAACACTAATTTTTACATGTTAAAAACGAATCAGGAATCAGATTTGGTCCAAGACTTTTCGTTAAAATTTTCAAAAATAGCAATTCATGGTGATATAGGTTAGTTCAAGTGGAAAAATATTTTTTCTCCCCGAGCGTCCTACACATCTGAAAAACTCCAAAGACACTAATTTTGACATGTTAAAAACGAATCAGGAATCAGATTTGATCCAAGACTTTTCGTTAAAATTTTCAAAAATAGCAATTCATGGTGATATAGGTTAGTTCAAGTGGAAAAATATTTTTTCTCCCCGAACGTCCTACACATCTGAAAAACTCCAAAGACACTAATTTTGACATGTTAAAAACGAATCAGGAATCAGATTTGATCCAAGACTTTTCGTTAAAATTTTCAAAAATAGCAATTCATGGTGATATAGGTTAGTTCAGGTGGAAAAATATTTTTTCTCCCCGAGCGTCCTACACATCTGAAAAACTCCAAAGACACTAATTTTGACATGTTAAAAACGAATCAGGAATCAGATTTGATCCAAGACCTTTCGTTAAAATTTTCAAAAATAGCAATTCATGGTGATATAGGTTAGTTCAAGTGGAAAAATATTTTTTCTCCCCGAGTGTCCTACACATCTGAAAAACTCTATGAACACTAATTTGGACATGTTGAAAACGAATCAGGAATCAGATTTGATCCAAGACTTTTCGTTAAATTTTTCAAAAATAGCAATTCATGGTGATATAGGTTAGTTCAAGTAGAAAAATATTTTTTCTCCCCGAGCGTCCTACACATCTGAAAAACTCCGAAAACACTAATTTTTACATGTTAAAAACGAATCAGGAATCAGATTTGGTCCAAGACTTTTCGTTAAAATTTTCAAAAATAGCAATTCATGGTGATATAGGTTAGTTCAAGTAGAAAAATATTTTTTCTCCCCGAGCGTCCTACACATCTGAAAAACTCCGAAGACACTAATTTTCACATGTTAAAACGAATCAGGAATCAGATTTGGTCCAAGACTTGTCGTTAAAATTTTCAAAAATAGCAATTCATGGTGATATAGGTTAGTTCAAGTAGAAAAATATTTTTTCTTCCCGAGCGTCCTACACATCTGAAAAACTCCGAAGACACTAATTTTGACATGTTAAAAACGAATCAGGAATCAGATTTGGTCCAAGACTTTTCGTTAAAATTTTCAAAAATAGCAATTCATGGTGATATAGGTTAGTTCAAGTAGAAAAATATTTTTTCTTCCCGAGCGTCCTACACATCTGAAAAACTCCGAAAACACTAATTTTTACATGTTAAAAACGAATCAGGAATCAGATTTGGTCCAAGACTTTTCGTTAAAATTTTCAAAAATAGCAATTCATGGTGATATAGGTTAGTTCAAGTAGAAAAATATTTTTTCTCCCCGAGCGTCCTACACATCTGAAAAACTCCGAAGACACTAATTTTGACATGTTAAAACGAATCAGGAATCAGATTTGGTCCAAGACTTGTCGTTAAAATTTTCAAAAATAGCAATTCATGGTGATATAGGTTAGTTCAAGTAGAAAAATATTTTTTCTTCCCGAGCGTCCTACACATCTGAAAAACTCCGAAAACACTAATTTTTACATGTTAAAAACGAATCAGGAATCAGATTTGGTCCAAGACTTTTCGTTAAAATTTTCAAAAATAGCAATTCATGGTGATATAGGTTAGTTCAAGTAGAAAAATATTTTTTCTTCCCGAGCGTCCTACACATCTGAAAAACTCCGAAGACACTAATTTTGACATGTTAAAAACGAATCAGGAATCAGATTTGGTCCAAGACTTTTCGTTAAAATTTTCAAAAATAGCAATTCATGGTGATATAGGTTAGTTCAAGTAGAAAAATATTTTTTCTTCCCGAGCGTCCTACACATCTGAAAAACTCCGAAAACACTAATTTTTACATGTTAAAAACGAATCAGGAATCAGATTTGGTCCAAGACTTTTCGTTAAAATTTTCAAAAATAGCAATTCATGGTGATATAGGTTAGTTCAAGTAGAAAAATATTTTTTCTTCCCGAGCGTCCTACACATCTGAAAAACTCCGAAGACACTAATTTTGACATGTTAAAAACGAATCAGGAATCAGATTTGGTCCAAGACTTTTCGTTAAAATTTTCAAAAATAGCAATTTATGGTGATATAGATTAGTTCAGGTGGAAAAATATTTTTTCTCCCCGAGTGTCCTACACATCTGAAAAACTCCGAAGACACTAATTTTGACATGTTAAAACGAATCAGGAATCAGATTTGGTCCAAGACTTGTCGTTAAAATTTTCAAAAATAGCAATTCATGGTGATATAGGTTAGTTCAAGTAGAAAAATATTTTTTCTTCCCGAGCGTCCTACACATCTGAAAAACTCCGAAGACACTAATTTTGACATGTTAAAAACGAATCAGGAATCAGATTTGGTCCAAGACTTTTCGTTAAAATTTTCAAAAATAGCAATTCATGGTGATATAGGTTAGTTCAAGTAGAAAAATATTTTTTCTTCCCGAGCGTCCTACACATCTGAAAAACTCCGAAAACACTAATTTTTACATGTCAAAAACGAATCAGGAATCAGATTTGGTCCAAGACTTTTCGTTAAAATTTTCAAAAATAGCAATTCATGGTGATATAGGTTAGTTCAAGTAGAAAAATATTTTTTCTCCCCGAGCGTCCTACACATCTGAAAAACTCCGAAGACACTAATTTTGACATGTTAAAACGAATCAGGAATCAGATTTGGTCCAAGACTTGTCGTTAAAATTTTCAAAAATAGCAATTCATGGTGATATAGGTTAGTTCAAGTAGAAAAATATTTTTTCTTCCCGAGCGTCCTACACATCTGAAAAACTCCGAAGACACTAATTTTGACATGTTAAAAACGAATCAGGAATCAGATTTGGTCCAAGACTTTTCGTTAAAATTTTCAAAAATAGCAATTCATGGTGATATAGGTTAGTTCAAGTAGAAAAATATTTTTTCTTCCCGAGCGTCCTACACATCTGAAAAACTCCGAAAACACTAATTTTTACATGTTAAAAACGAATCAGGAATCAGATTTGGTCCAAGACTTTTCGTTAAAATTTTCAAAAATAGCAATTCATGGTGATATAGGTTAGTTCAAGTAGAAAAATATTTTTTCTCCCCGAGCGTCCTACACATCTGAAAAACTCCGAAGACACTAATTTTGACATGTTAAAACGAATCAGGAATCAGATTTGGTCCAAGACTTGTCGTTAAAATTTTCAAAAATAGCAATTCATGGTGATATAGGTTAGTTCAAGTAGAAAAATATTTTTTCTTCCCGAGCGTCCTACACATCTGAAAAACTCTGAAGACACTAATTTTGACATGTTAAAAACGAATCAGGAATCAGATTTGGTCCAAGACTTTTCGTTAAAATTTTCAAAAATAGCAATTTATGGTGATATAGATTAGTTCAGGTGGAAAAATATTTTTTCTCCCCGAGTGTCCTACACATCTGAAAAACTCCAAAGACACTAATTTTGACATGTTAAAAACGAATCAGGAATCAGATTTGGTCCAAGACTTTTCGTTAAAATTTTCAAAAATAGCAATTCATGGTGATATAGCGGTCAAACCAGAAGTGAAAGAAAACAACTGAATACGTCAAATAATGCATATTCATATACTATACTTACACACCGAATTTCATTTGTTCATCTGTATAAAGAAAAAAGTTATAGAGGTGGGCCACTTTTGAGAAACACCCGGTAAGGTACAGTTATATTAGGCAAAACGACTATCTCAGCTATACTTGACTCGAAAGGTCCCAAAGCAGGCCATGCAATGCGACCAATATTATATAATACCTAGAATTTTATCGCACTGAATTGCAATGAAGATTTTTCTCATCGCCGGTTATATAACAGTGCTGTTTATGCGGCAAATTAACCTACTTTTGAGGCACATACTTGTCATGTACAGAAATATTCATATTTTGTCGATAGCAGTAGAAAATTTGAGCATTTGGTGGGTACGCTGATGGAGAATATGGTGAATGCGCCTATGAATTTGAAATATGGCGAATACTCAAATGGTGATAGGATAAATGTTGAACCAGAGATAAGCTAAACACACTGTATTGGATGTTTTGATGATAATCTGTATTTACTAATGTTTCTAGAATGGAAACCATGCTGGATGATAAGAACGAACTACCCGAGCAGTTTCTATCGGAAATCTACAAATGGGCATTAGAATGTAAGTTTTCTACTAATCAAAATATTTTGTGTGCAGATATTTCATTTCATGAGAAACTATTTACCCAATAACTAGAAAAAAATGATAATTTGATTTTTCAATGATTATTGGTTGTCTTTACGTATGCATAAAACATTACATTTTTGCTTTGACTTTACTCTTTAGAGGAACTCAAAATAGGTCCCTATTCTTCCCAGCTCGTCTCATAGAAAAATGTCTTGTGTGTCATTCTTTACTAACTCATGAAACACTGACATAAGACGAAATTGCTCGATTTACGATCTCCAATTTTCAATTATTTTATTTTTATTAGTTAAAATCTGAATTTCCGGATTTTCAATTTAATTTTTTTCGGACGTTAGATGTAAATATGACAAAACTGAAAAAACATCTTCATGGAAACTTTTGATGGTAGTCAATTCGGCATCATCGATTTTCTGAGCTAACGTTTCGTCTTTGAGCAACCATCATCAACTTCATATTTTCAAATACGGCCGATATTTTGATATCAGATTCGAACAGCCTCATTTGAAATATGGACCTGATATTTTTCATAATTCTGTGAAAAAATGAGGTTCACTCATCAGATTGAACATTCAACAATGCTACATCAATATCAATACGCATTTTAGAATACGTTGAATAATCAATAATAACCAATGCACAAATCAAAAACTTCTTTGAATGTCAAAACCTAGGTAAAAATATTAGAGATACGAAACTGATAAATTCACAAGAGATGTTCAAGAAGATTGCCATTGATTTTCATGTCTGCATAACAACTTCCTACTGATGAATTCGAAACATTATTCATAATTCCTACAGTTATACTCTGGAATGCTTCAAAGACCAGAGTTCTTCTTCTGTTTCGAAGGCTCGGTCATAAATAAAGTTAAATCATGAAAATCATCCATATCCCAAAGTGGTAAAAAGTAATTTCAGAAGAAAAACTAAGCAACGCAAAGTCAGTCGACCACAATTAATATAGAAATCTTCAGTAAAAAGTTACCGGTTTCGGCACTACGGCCATCATCAGACAATGGTACATTACATACCAAACAATATGGGACTCAGCATATAAAACAATAAATCATGGTATATGATGATTTTCGTCAACGGGTTAGCAGAATCGGGAAAATGTGTAGCTCTTTTTTAAATTTATTGAAGAGCCAGAAAAAAATGGCTGTGATAAGGTAGAACATCTTATCAAAGAAAAATTTTTCATACAATCATCAGCATGCCATCAGTAATACGTGTTCTTTTATTCATCGATGAATAATGCCCATGAAATATAAATTCATCAAATAGTATTTTATATAATTCACCAATCCGAACATGGCTTAACCAGCAGATAGTTATCAAATTCAGCGGATAATTCAATCTAATATTTATCTGATACATCGGCATGAAGGACTGACTGATTAATTGATGAATTTAAAGAGGGGGATATGTCAAATGTGAAATCACTGAAAACTGTGAGGTTATTCGACTATGCCATTGATGAAATAGGATAAATCTTCAGCGATCATAGGATCAGTGATACAGTGATCAATATAATGATGAAAGTTTATGGTCAATTTGCAACTACAGTTGATTTCAAAGCCTAATTTTATCTGAGAATATTCCTTTTCAATACAGATGAATAATATTATTTTTTCAGCTGTTGCAAGAGTATCTCTGAACACAAGATTAGGCTGTTTGGAACCAAATCTTCCGGAAAATTCGGAATCACAAAGGATCATAAACTCGATAAACACGTTTTTCTGGAACGTGGCCGAAGTAGAATTGAAATTTCCTGTTTGGAGGGTGTACAAGAATAGAGCTTTTAAAAAATATATAGGCGCCTTGGAAGACTTTCGAACGTGAGTGATAATTTATATATTCATATTATCTGACAGCTACGGAAGCGTAGAAGCGACATGATATATTTTTTTTTATAATCGACAGATATACTGTCAACTATAGCCTAATTGACAGATACTAAGTGGTAAGTAGCTTACTTGACAGATCATAAGTGGTAACTAGCATACTTGACAGATACTTAAGTGTCAACTAGCATAATTGACAGATACTAAGTGGTAAGTAGTCTAATTGACAGATACTAAGTGGTAACTAGTATACTTGACAGATACTTAACTGTCAACTAGCATAATTGACATATACTAAGTGTTAAGTAGCCTACTTGACAGTTAGTAAGTGGTAACTAGTATACTTGACAGATACTAAGTGGTAAGTAGCCTTATTGACAGATATTAAGTGGTAACTAGCCTAATTGACAGATACTAAGTGGTAAGTAGCCTAATTGACAGATACTAAGTAGTGACTAGTATACTTGACAGATACTTAAGTGTCAACTAGTATCTGGAAAGCAGGCTAGTTATCACTTAATATCTGTCAATTGGGCTAGTTGACACTTAAGTATCTGTCAAGTATGCTACTTACCACTCAGTACATCTATCAAGTAGGCTACTTAACACTTAGTATCTGTCAATTATGCTAGTTGACAGTTAAGTATCTGTCAAGTATACTAGTTACCACTTAGTATCTGTCAAGTAGGTTACTTACTACTTAGTATCTGTCAATTAGGCTAGTTGACATTCAAGTATCTGTCAAGTATACTAGTTATACCACTTAGTATCTGTCAAGTAGGCTACTTACCACTTAGTATCTGTCAATTAGACTAGTTGAGTTATATCTGTCAATTTGAAGAAAAAATCATTTGGCGCTTCTACGCTTTCGCAGACAGCGCAAAAAATAGTGGTTTATAAACCCAGGGACTTATGTGGCACTTTCAATACCGATGAGAAAAATTTGAAGCCCGACCGGAGGGAGAAAAGAACTTTAGTCCCTTTGGTTTATAAATTATTTTATTCAGAGTGGTATAAATTATTTAGATCCCGGTAAAAAATATCCTCCCCAAATAATAAATATACATTTGAAAAAACAAAGTTCCAGTTATTGAACCAGAAGAGACAGAGCTTATTGAATATTGTTAACAGCTAATATAACTCATTTATATGAGTCATCCTGTAAATCATAAGAATAATGTCTTGACATACTTTCGCGTGACACAAAACAAGAGAAGAACTAACTTTCGGTTACGATTGAAATCGAAAGTCTTGACCAAGAACTTGAACTGTGTGCATTAGTGCGAAATAGTTATCTTTCAACCACGTTTTCCTTATGTAACTGTAAATTCAAGGCTATCCTAATTTTATACAGACTATATTGATGGAAAGAAAATACTATACAGGGTGTTTCAAAAAACCTGACCCCCTTGCTAGGGTAGGTAGAACACTGCAAAATAAGTTGGGTTTACTCAGTAAAAAAATATCGTAACGGCATCCGTTATCAAGAACCGAAAACAACAATACATTTCTGATGCTAAACTTATTGTTTCACAAGAATAACATCGAAACAGATTTGACTAAGAACATGGATTACACAGTTTTGTTGTATCTTGAGCAGAAAGACTATGCTACATAGTTAAATTCACGTCAACAGATGTAAGACATAATTGAACATCACTTGAATGACCTAACAGCTGATTCTCAACTGTCTAAAAGGATAATCATTTTGAACACTTTTACTCTGATTCAATATTTCATGTTTCTGCAAATGCATATTATTGAAAAAAGCATTACAGGGACTATCATAGGTTATATAACTTATATGTTTCTGATTCATTTTCACTTCCTAAAATTACACAGGGTGGCCAAAAATGAATGTTCAGTTCGGAATTTCTCACTATATGGTATATTGACTATATAAAAAGCTTTACAGGGACTATCATAGGTTCCAAGACGTCTGTGATATGTTATTTCTGATTCATTTTCACTTCCTAAAATTACACAGGGTGGCCAAAAATGAATGTTCAGTTCGGAATTTCTCACTATATGGTATATTGACTATATAAAAAGCTTTACAGGGACTATCATAGGTTGCAAGACGTCTGTGATATGTTTCTGATTCATTTTCACTTCCTTAAAAGTACACAGGGTGGCCAAAAATGAATTTTCAGTTCCTTCTCACTATACCTATATTATTAACTACCTATGGTATATTGACTGTGTCTGTATGTTCGGAAATGATTTCCAGTTATAGTTTCTTATCGATCTGTTACTCAATGGCAGAACCAGAACAATCACGAGCTCTGACGCACTATTGCCCCATCACCATGTACAGGAAACTTGGAATAATTGTCTCTGTTCATCAGGTTATGTTTGAAATATATCAACCAATCGATGGATCAAATGAAAGATAAAAATTACGATAATATCAAAGAGGAGGATATTTCTATAGTGGAAAGAATACTGATCAAAACTGGAAATCCAAAATTGGCTGCCGTTTTGGCTCTGGATCTACTACTCGTTGGTGTAGATACCGTAAGTTTTTAATCAATTTCGCAAGTCCACCTTACATTTAACATTGTATTTTTTTTAGACTTCCATAGCTGCAGCATCCACAATTTACCAGCTATCACGAAATCCCGAAAAACAGGAAAAATTATTCCGAGAATTACAAAACATACTACCAAAACGCAATTCAAAGGTTGATAATAATGTACAAGAAAATATGCCTTATCTGAAGGCATGTATAAAAGAAACATTGAGGTATTTCAGTGTTGATCATCTATATTTTTATCAACAGTAAAAAGACAAGAGAGGTTTTCGAGTGTTTATCATGAATGACGTTAATAATCGTAAAAAAATTTATCGCTCAAAAACGATTCGGCTTCTGTATTGGTAGAGCACGTCTGATAAATGGTCGATTCTGATTGGTTCTGGAGAAGAAGAGTGGAATAGTCATTGAGAAAAATTATTTTATCGAGATCAATAATTCTATTTATTTTCAGAATGTATCCTGTGATTATTGGAAATGGTAGAAGTTTACAATCAGATACCATACTTGCTGGATATAAGGTTCCAAAAGGGGTAAAAACATATATATCTATAACACATCTTTCAACTATTATTGAACGTCCGGCAAAATTGCAAAAGTCACTGGAACTTATGCCTCTGACATCGCCGAAAGCTAAAACTTGGGTTTGGTTGTTAACACTTTCAATCATCTCATCACCAATTACTAGGTAGTCTTATTTTAATGAGGAGTTTTTCTATTATCTAGACCCACGTGATATTTCCGCATTTGGTGGTGAGCAACAGCGAGGAATACATAGAGGAACCGAACAAGTTTATGCCAGAAAGGTGGCTGAAATCGGGACAATCTGGTGGCTGCCCGGCACACCAAAACAAAATACATCCATTCATATCTTTGCCATTCGGGTATGGTAGGAGATCGTGTTTGGGTAGAAGATTTGCTGAGACTGAACTGAATATTTTATTGGCAAAGGTAATGAAGCAACCTGTAGAAAAAATAAGTGGCCTACTCTATTTTTTTATTATTTCAGATTTTTAGAAAATATGAAGTTGGATATCACTATGGATCGTTGACTTACAAAATTACGCCTACTTTTGTTCCTGAACAACCACTGAAATTTCGGTTGACTGAAAGGAGCTGTTGAAAAAAACTCTTATCAGGCTATATATGTGTGGTGTTCATACATAATCATTAGGAATCCTGAGACTGTACATATTTCACTAATAATTGGTTATTAATATATTATTTTATTTCTCTCTTGTCCATTTTACTGCTTTATGATGTAACCTTGGCAACGGTTGCTATAAACAGACCGATTATGAATCATAACGTCTGCTATTGTTTTTTTCTGTAGTTCATAAACTTACATACCAATTCTTGAAACTACAATAATCCTTGTCCTATATACACGAGTCTGGATTTTTCCCACAATAAATTAATCAATCTGCATTTTGATGATATTTTTGGGAAAATTTGTATTCATTTCCATTGTTTCTAAAAGACTATACACAAAGAAAGCAGCACAGCAATGACATTCCTAAATGAAATGATAACAGCAATATTCAACAAACGTCAAAATATCAACAAATGCCATGCCTACCATGAGAATAAATATGGAGAGAAAATGCTAGGAACAAAGAACCACTTCTTAATATCGAAATTTGTTTTTTTCTTCAATGTTAGTTTCAGTGCTACATATTGTTCCAAAAGGTATAATTGACTACCATGTTATTCTCTTCAAAATGGTTTCCTTTTGATATCATCATAGATAGAGAACTTTTCTAGACGCAATAGAGAGTTGAAGATCACATGAAGGCACTTCAATAGCCATCTAGTAGAAAGAATAATCCTGGTGTGAGATTTCAAACATTATCATCCGCCATTTTGTTTTGGATGAATATTTTCGTCTAAGATTCTGAGGTTGTATAGAGAATCGAAAGACATTTCAATTGAGGTATCTTTGAACCCCCCACTCCATTTAAAAATATAATAATATTTTTTTTCAACAATATATGTAGCACTAAAACTACCATTGAAGCAAAAAAAAATGACATAAAAATTCCCAGCCGTTCAATATTTTACCAGGGGGCGGGGTGACTTTACGGACACAGTGTATAATTTTTTTATCAAAAATAATATCTTGTATGCAACAGGAGCATTACTAGATCCTAACAATGATCCTAACGCCCATCCGCCATCATTCATCACATTACATCAACTAGGAAAATTTTATTAATGCCTACTTGCCTCTTGCCTATAAACGCAGAAGAACTTCGATTGTAATGCCTACTTGCCTTTTGCCTATAGACGCAGAAGACCATTGAATGCAAAGGGCTACCAAATGAGAACTCAACTACTCATATTATATAACCTCATTCTCAGATTCAGGAGCAAAACAAAACATTGTTTTCTATGGATGAGAGTAAAAGTACACCTGAAAGTGACTTCAGTATAGAATGTTTTCAAAACTATTCTGCTCCAGAAGTTTTCATACAAGGACTCGCAGGAATAGTAGACCAACAAGATGTAGAATCAATGATTAGAGCCCAAAAATTGATGTGAGTATTTTAGTATTTACCTACCTAGGAAATATGAAACCACTGTTTACCACCCAAACTTTCAAAGGTTGCAGAGATTTGAAAAAACTAATGAGATGTTGACCAACTGCAATGCACTTAGTGCCTCCCGCTTGAAAACAGTAGCACCAGAGTTCAAAAGACACATGCAACTATTGATGGACACCAAAAAAGACCTAGACTATATTTTCAAGAAGATAAGGATAATCAAGTCTAAACTGTCAGCACAGTATCCTGAAGCTTTTGCGGAGGCTGTTAGGAGTAGTTTTGCAGAAGAATGTGAAGAGGATGAAAGTGGGGCCAAGAGCCCCAAAAAAGGAGACAACCGGAGAAGTTTGCATATTAAGAGTGAGAATTTTCAAAATTCAGACACTAGTACCAATAGAAGGGCATCTGAATAACTTTAGATGGAATTTAGTACTATATAAATATAAATATGTTTGTCATAGCTGTATATGTTGCACATGTAGTTAATGTTTAAGTTGCATTTATTGTTTGTATAAACTCATATTGAGAGATGTAATATAAAATTATTATAATGCTGTACTGCTGTATAAAAAAAAATTGGTGACAACATTTATCCCACTTATAGGATATGAAGTGATATGAAAATAATCAAAACACTTACAAAAAAAAACTATTGTAAGTCATAATACCTGCAAAGTTCTACTGAGCATATTTTTCTGTATACATTTTAGCTTTCTTGATATAATTGTCCTTGTAGTTTTTATATTCCTCTGCAATATCAGCCATGAGGGGATCATCTGGATTTGGATACTCCATGAGCATCCTGACTGCTATTAGAAGGCCTTCCAAACCAATTGTTGGTTTCCAACTACCAGAAGGAGGCATTTTTATCAAATCTAGACATATTCTACCATTATCATCTATGTTTGGATGGTATATTTTTGTAATGAACCTGATAGATGGTGGTGAGAAAGGGTATTTTTCTGGGACCATTATTTCCAAGGTAAAAACTCCACCTTTGTAAGGAGTTTCCTCTGGACCAGTAATGTTGGCTTCTAAATGTTGTAGCTTGTCATCCTTTTGGAAAACACAAATACCTTGAGGTGGCGAATTAGTTATTTTGGCCAGTTCACGAGATAATCTTTGTCTTTGCATAATTATCTCATTCACTCTCAATGAAATCAGCAAAACAGTATTTCCAAATTACTAAAATGAATAAATATAAACAGAAACACCACTAACAGAAACTTTTCAAAATCAAAATAATCAAGTCTCTTCTACTCTTCAGCGAACAAAATCATACAAAATATTAAAAACGTACCTAGCCAACGTAGCCACTAGTCTTGCTTCGCCCTTGCGAAAAACATTTAATAGAGTTAATGGCTTAATGGCCTCGGTAGTATTCGATAAAAACAAAAAGTTGAATGAGGAAGAAGAAGCATAGTGGGTGGGTGCGCCTCAAGGCGGTGCGCCTGATTGGCTGATTTGAAAATTAACCCACAATGTCCCACAAATCAAAGTTCACCATTTCTTGTCTATCATTCACCTATCATCATCTCTTTTATAACGAATTTCCGCTGTATGATATTTACCTTTCAACTAATCAATTTTGATAAAAAAATAGAAAAAATCGAAAAATCGAAAAATGGCCCTCAACGTGAATCCTCTCTTCGAGCAACAAACTAGTACGAGAAAACAAAACGACGAAGCTAAAACATCATCCAACGACAATCATGCAGTGACTAAAAGGTATGTTTTCTTCATATCCTAACCTCATTTTTTGTCTATAAGACTATTTTTTGTTCTGCAGATTACACAAAGAGCTCATGACTCTTATGATGAGCCAGGAGACAAACGTGTCTGCCTTTCCAGAAGGTGAGAACCTTTTCAAGTGGATAGGCACCATTTTGGGGCCCAAAGACTCTGCCTATGATTCTCTAAAATTCAAGCTCAGCCTACAGTTCCCTAATTCATATCCATACACAGCACCTATAGTGAAGTTTATCACACCCTGTTTTCATCCAAATGTAGATACCAGTGGCAACATATGCCTGGATATTCTCAAAGACAAATGGTCTGCTCTATATGATGTGAGAACCATTTTACTGTCTGTACAGTCATTGCTAAGTGAACCTAACATTGATAGTCCTTTGAATGCCTTGGCAGCTGAAAAGTGGCAGAAGCCTGATGAATATAAAATACATGTGATTGAAACACATAAAGAAGCCTGAATTGATTAGTTTGGATTAAATTAATTTGTAAATCTTTAGTTATAGGAAGACATTTTGATATAGACTGCCCACATGCTACATTCAACTACTGTGTTTTTCGTTTATGTTGCTAGAATTCTTTCCTAGTCAATGTTTCTTTAAATTCAGAGTGATGTGAATGATTGAATGTGGAATATATATTTATTATTTACAATGATTTAATTTTGAGAGGATTCTACAGATATATATGTCTTTGGTCTACCTCATGAAAAATGTGACTGTTGGGTAGTTCTTGCTATTTTTTATTGATTATTAAATTTTTTTAAACCACACCTCACTTGATGAATTGTATGATGGATAATGGATACACATCTTTTATAATGGAGTGTTGTGTCGAAAACACAATGTAATATACTGACATTGGTTGCCAAATAATTTCAATCCAAGGATGGACTATTCTGATAATCATAGGACTGAAGATTATTTTTCTAATGATCAATTTGTCAATCTATTAGCAACATGCAATATTTCCATTTAAATATATTCCTGAACAGACAAATTTCTTATTAATGAATATTTCTAGTTGTCAGTATCCTGCTTGTTTGCTATTTTGGTTTGATTTGTTTGTTATTATATCCCAATAAAAAATTTTAAAAGTATGTAGATGTTCTATTTTTCATCATTTTAAAAACCTAAAAACTAACTGTTTTCTTGGTGCAAAGCAATCAGTTTACAAAATTTCGAGTCGTAGGTATTAGGGAATAAGGAAATTGTAGGGTCGGTAGGGAACAGAATGGCGTTTACGAATAAAACTAGAAAATGAATCAACGCATATTTTTTTTATCGCTTGGAGTGCACGAAAGGAAATCCCTATAATGTTCAAAGAACATATCGAGCGTTCCTAGGGAAGATTGGGACAGGAGGTAGGTATTGGAATTTTTTTTGAACTTCTGGAGATTCACGATGGAGATTATATGTTGTTGGGAATACTTCCTCAGGCAATGAATTCCAGAGCCTAGCCGTTCTATGGATAAATTCATTTTATCTGAGATTTGAAATGTTTATAATCTTACTCCTATGAGCATATGGAACCTGCCCTAAACTTGTGATCCTCACGATAAAAATGTCTTCTACAACCTTCTACTAGAGGGTCCCTTGTAAGTCATTAATGTCTTCTACTTTCAAAAAGTTTCGTCAATCTAATAAAATTTTTTGACAACTGTCAACAGTCATTCCTACGAAAGCGTAGAAGCGCCACATGATATATTTTTTTAATAATTGACAGATATAACTGTCAACTAGCCTAATTGACAGATACTAAGTCGTAAGTAGTATACTTGACAGATACTAAGTCGTAAGTAGCATACTTGACAGATACTAAGTGGTAAGTAGTATACTTGACAGATACTAAGTCGTAAGTAGCATACTTGACAGATACTAAGTGGTAAGTAGTATACTTGACAGATACTAAGTCGTAAGTAGCATACTTGACAGATACTAAGTGGTAAGTAGTATACTTGACAAATACAGTCGTAAGTAGCATACTTGACAGATACTAAGTGGTAAGTAGTATACTTGACAGATACTAAGTCGTAAGTAGCATACTTGACAGATACTAAGTGGTAAGTAGTATACTTGACAGATAGGCCAAGAAACTCGCCATCGCCAAGAAACAAAGAAGATTAAGAAGAAGAAGAATACAATGCCGACATAACACAAGATAGGTTGAAAATCACTTCGGATTCGGAATCAGGACGTCCAATTTTTGCAAGACAATGTTTAAATTTATATATTAAATAACAATTTGCTCAATTCCCAACAATTTACTTCAGAATCAAAATCTGCACCATGTACACGGCCATTTCTGTACACAGGGAGTTTCTTAAGTACGTGTACAAAATTCAGGAGCATATGTTGCTGACGTCAAAATAAAAAGAAAAGTTGTTATAAACATATGTCCACAAGTTATTCGTTTCTGAGATACAGAGTGTCAAAGTTTCATTGTCATTCCGGTTTTTGGTGAATTCGAGTGAGATACCAAATTTATTCCCAAAAAACAGGAATAAGAATCCTTTGACACTCTGTATCTCAATAATGAATAACTTATGCGGACATATATGTTTATACGAACTTTTCTTCTTTTTTTGACGCCAGCAACATGCTCCTGATTTTTTTACACGTACTCAAGAAACACCCTGAATATTTAAAGAGCTTCTACAGGGTTTATCATTGAGGATAGAAACAAACTTCAAATACAAAAGTTGTAGGGTGTGTTCTCAACATCCAGAAAATTGTACGAGGTGGAATATAAAGACCCAAAAATACCATAATATTTAGAGAAACCTAAATACGCGTATTTCAGCAACTAAATTGCCAACCTGTAAAGTAAAAATGATTAGCTAACTCCTTCGATTTATCTTTCGGATATCGTCCAGAGGTCGACCTGCAATATCCGAAAGATACTAAGGAGTCAGCCAGAAGGAGCCTTTGACAATACCTCAATAAACTCTATAATTAGAGCTCTCAGACAGAGAGGAATCGAGGAACCCTGTGTGGCCTGGATAGACTCAATGTTGAGAAACAGAACGATTTACACCACTGTGATGGGAGAGACCGTAGAGGCCAGGGCGACCAGAGGATGCCCGCAGGGAGGAGTACTCTCCCCACTTCTGTGGAATCTGGTTATGGACGGGCTACTGAGGGTACTCAATGACAGTGGACATAGAGTCCTTGGATACGCAGACGACATAGTAGTCTTGGCACAAGGAAAGTATAATACCACAGTCAGAGATCGTATGATACAGGCTCTAGAACTGGTAACGGAATGGACGGATCAAGAAGGGCTGAATATCAGTCCTCACAAGGCCACCATGATAGCATTCACACGAAGACATAAACTAGAGGGATTAGGTCCTCTTAAACTTCGAGGCGAAACAATCCAGTTGAAAGAGGAGGTCAAATACCTCGGGGTGATATTAGATCCGAAACTGACTTGGAACCAACAACTGGAAAAGACAACCAAAAAAGCGGTAACGTCACTGATGATGACCAGACGCTCTTGTGGGAAGAAATGGGGACTGAGACCAAACATGCTGTACTGGTTGTACAACAGGGTGGTGATGCCTTCCATAACATATGCCTCTCTGGTATGGTGGAAGAAGACACTACAAAGAGGAGCTATAACAAGACTGAGCAAGATACAAAGACTTGCATGTCTAGGAATCACGGGGGCTATGAAGTCAACGCCAACCGCAGCCATGGAAACACTACTGGATCTGCCTCCCCTCCATTTGATGGTACAGGGGGAGGCGAGACTTGGTGCCCTAAGACTGCAAAATACACTGGGCAATGTTAACATAGGAACAGGACATATGAGCATCGTCAGAATAGTGAACAGGGACATACTTAATATGAGAACAGATCACATTTCGAAACGATATATATTTGACACTTCATTCAGAGTGTCCATACCAGACAGATCTGAATGGAATGACGGAGAACTCAGCACCATACTGCAGGGAAAGATCTGGTATACAGACGGGTCCAAGACTGCGAATGGGTCAGGAGCAGGAGTATACTCCAAACATCCGGAAACTAGCCTCAGCTACTCATTGGGGAAGTACGCTTCAGTTTTCCAAGCAGAGGTGTATGCAATTCTCCAATGTGCGGAAGAAAATAACAGGAGAGCTGTGGAAAACGAGCAGATCCGTATTATGTCAGACAGTCAAGCGGCACTTAAGGCAATAGAAAGCCAGGAAGTGACATCTCGACTGGTATGGGATTGCAAGAGGGAACTGAGAACTTTGGCAGACCGGAACTGCGTCAAGCTAATCTGGGTGCCAGGTCATCAGGGGATCGCTGGCAATGAGAAGGCTGACGAACTCGCAAGAAGAGGGTCGGACAACGAGCCAGATCCAGGACAGACTCTTGGAGTACCAAAACGTACAGCACGAGGGTCAGTTAAAGACTGGATTCAGGCAAAACACAAGAGCTACTGGGAAAACATCCCAAGAAACAGACATGGGAAACAATACATTAAGGAACCAAGTCATAAACGAACTGTAGACCTGCTCAACTTGAACAGAGCACAGATAAAAACTGTTACGGGACTCATGACTGGCCACGCGCCAGTAAAGGAGCATCTCACCAGAATGGGACTGTACAATGGCGACCCAAGCTGCAGATTATGTGGCAAGGAACCAGAAACAGTAGCACATATACTGTGCCGATGTGAGGCATTGGACCGCAGAAGACAGAAGATCTTTGGGCAACCAGTTGGCGAACCAGAAATATTCAACTCACATCCAGTGAAGGATTTGTACAGACTTGTTCAAGGTACAGAGATAATGGAGTGGGCACAATAAAGAACATTAGGTAAGATACAATGGGCCACCATAGGCCTAAGTGTCGTCGGAGACATGGTCAGACGAGCCTACAAACGGGGTGGAGTTTTTAGTGGGTAAACCCTGGCTAGAGTCAGGGGAGTCCCACACTACCATATGGGGGATAGGACCCATATGATGTCCATAAAGGATTTAAACCACCTCGACAAAAAAAAAAAAAAAAAAAAAAAAAAAAAGGAGTCAGCCACTATGCGAGTCAGCTAATCATTTTTACTTTACAGGTCTACTGAGGATGGCAACTTAGTTGCCAAAATACGTATTGTGGTATTTTTTGGTCTTTTTATTTTGTATTTTAGTACTTATAACCAGTCTCCAAATCTTCACTGTACGAGGTGCTGATATAAGAAATGGGTACCAACTTCGTTATTTTAAATAGAACACCCTATACATATTTTTCGAATGAATTGAGAATCCTCCTTTTCTGATTTCAAAAATATATAGGTTGTTGAGCCGGTTCAGCCGTTCATGAGGCTTTACGAGGTCGAACACTAAGAATTAGAAAAAAAAATGTCATACAAGCTTATGCAGTATTTTGTTGTATTGATATGTTACAGTTGAATCATCATTGATAAGTCGACTAGCTCTGAGCCAGTATCTGTCATATATGCTACTTACGACTTAGTATCTGTCAAGTATACTACTTACCACTCAGTATCTGTCAAGTATGCTACTTACGACTTAGTATCTGTCAAGTATACTACTTACCACTTAGTATCTGTCAAGTATGCTACTTACCACTTAGTATCTGTCAAGTATGCTACTTACGACTTAGTATCTGTCAAGTATACTACTTACCACTTAGTATCTGTCAAGTATGCTACTTACGACTTAGTATCTGTCAAGTATACTACTTACCACTTAGTATCTGTCAAGTATGCTACTTACGACTTAGTATCTGTCAAGTATACTATACTTACCACTTAGTATCTGTCAAGTATGCTACTTACGACTTAGTATCTGTCAAGTATACTACTTACGACTTAGTATCTGTCAATTAGGCTAGTTGACAGTTATATCTGTCAATTATTAAAAGAAATATATCATGTGGCGCTTCTACGCTTTCGTACATTCCTAGTCAATTCTGGTCAATCCTTGTAGGGAGACGGAATGAAAAGTAGCAACCGGAATCGGATAAATAAAACGCAACTTTCAAACAACCTGCTGACATTCCTGACAAGTGAAGTGAGACATGTGTTTTGGTCGTTTGCATTTGTTTTCTTTTCCTAATCAAAAACAAAAATAAATAAATAGGTATTTTTCAACATTATACCAGTTATAAACTGTACTGTGTAAAAGAATTGTAATTTGTAAGCTACAGACTTCAAAATGATGCAACAGTTCATGAAAGAATTGGAGCAGGTTGGTAAATACCATTTCTACCAAATACCTTCCTAATGAACTCCCTTTCAGGATCCTTTTGATGCTGAGGAATTTGTTGAACGCCTAGCTTGGAGAACAATAGCAGAGACTAAAAACGATGGAGATGAAGGCGAATTGAATCCAACTTTATTGCATGAATCATTTGTACAGGCCATAAAGTAGCTCTTCCTTGCTCTTGTATGAACATTCCTTCATTAATATTGCATTTCAGAGATTTAACATTGCTACAAGAAAGACAGCAAAAAAAGTGCGAGAAACTAGAAACTGCTGTGAGAGAAGAGGAAGCAACATTTTTTCAAGAAATATACACACTACTAGAACAAAACAAAGTGAGATTAACAAATTATCACATGGAGAATGTAACACAATTGTGTTTCTAGCAAGCCATTGGAACATTTCAAGAGCTGGACAGTAAAATAAACCATGTGGCTACAAAGGTTCTGCATTTGGGTGATCAACTTGATAGTGTGAATGGTCCTAGATCAAGGGTAGTGGATGCCCAAAAAATGCTGACACACATGACAGAGTTCCTCTCAGCTGACTCTCCATCATCACCTATTTTCACAGATCCTGAGTTAGTAAGTTATAACTTTTATCAAGAAACTAATATAATATGATATTCACTGATATTTCTGGTTATAGATTGATGAAGCAGCTGATATGATCCAGAAACTATACATGATTTCACAAGATTTGCCTGAGGGAAAGTGAGTAAAATTATATAAACTTACCTTATTTGAATTGATTTTTTTGAAAATATAGACAGGGCATGGTTTTGAATAGGTATAATCTCATTATCTGAAAGTTAATCCACATTTTCATCACCAAATACAGTGTTCAATCCTAAGAATATTTTAATTATTCATTCTTCAGGATGTAGTTTCTTCTCAAAATCAAGTAGTAGATGATTATCAGTAATTTTTCTAATTTCACCTCTGTTTTTTCAGATTTGATAGTGTGATACAAAAGATAGAAAGAAAATATTGTGACATTGAAAAAAAGTTGATAGAAGATTTTGTAAATGCAATGTCCAATAATGATCTTCAAAAAATGAAGAAAATTGCTAATACTCTATCCCAATTTAGAGGCTATTCTGAATGTATAGATGCTTATATTGAACAAAGTCAACCAGTTAGTATGAATTTCAATAAAAATTGTCCTATTGTCTGAAGTTGAAATTCTGAACATACATTTTGTAGGAGTCCCTTACATCAAAAGATGTCTTTGGTCATCTCTTTTCACTTTGCAAGTACAACAATGAAATCATACAAAAAGTGTTCAAAAACCCTGAACAAGTGATGGCTAAGTTTGTTCTTAATATTTACCAACTAAAACTCATGGAATATATTGGACAAAGGCTAGATTCCAAACTTGGGAGCTATAATTATCTGCAAACATTGTTTGAGTTATATTCCAAGTGAGCCAATTGTTATTTAAATTATCATCTTTTGTCTGAATGATGATTTTTTTAGGACTAATCAATTATCAAATGATTTGGCAGTTTTCAACATGGGGAATGATAAAAATTATTTGTCCAAATTGACCACAAATATCTTCAATAAATACTTGAATGATTATATATCGTAAGTAGGCACAGGTTATGACCAAACTTATCAGTTTTAAAGGTATAGTTTCTAGGATTGAAACAAAATGCTTGAAAGAGCGTTGTGTCACCAATTTACAAAAGTACTATGAATCCAAGAATCATCAGAAAAAACCCATACAGTCAGGGGGGTAACTATCTGAATTATTCTCAATTTTCAACAGACAAAAAAAATAAAAACAATATTTACTTGTAGTTTTCAAGATCTTCGTAGAGACTTACAGGCAGTTATAGGAACTAGAGCAAACATCAATATTGCTCAAATAGAAAATTATGGTGGGGAAACCTTTTTATCAGAAGAATTAGCTGTGATGGTGCTCCAGGATACCAAACATGCCTTTCAACGTTGCCAACTGGTAATCATCAAGAAACCATTCATTCATCTTCTCACATCACAAGAATATTTTTTCCTCAGTTATCCAGACCAAAAGATAGAGCATCAAATGCTGCCCAAATTTTGGACAGGTTGATAAACAGTCTGTTGATTGAGCATGTGGACTATGCTGTGGAACTGGGGCTCCAGGCTATACCTGTGGAGGGGTCTAGGAGCTCCCCTGTTCTGTATTTTTTCAAAGTGATACACCTGAGCAACAATATCTTACACCTGATAGAAAAACAGTTTACTGACTTGGTTGTACCCATGGCAGAGTAGGTCAAAAAATTGGTTTAATTCAAAATTGATGAAATTAGTATCAATCCAGCATTTTCTAACTTGAATGTATATTCTGGTTTGATTTTTTTTCCAATTTGGCATGTTGTTTTGTGTTTTGTAATTCGAATTTCATGTTCAATATTTGTTCATTTCAGGAATACACCAAAGTATAATGAATGTTTACAAAAGAAAAAGATGGTTCTAGATGATATTGAAAGAAAAATTAAAACTGGACAAGACAGGTTAGTAACTATATCAACATTATTACTTTTCATAGACTGCTGTAACCACCTGCTACTTCACATTTTTTATCAGATTACTAAAACTAAAAAACAATAAGTTTGCTCAAATTGATTTGATAAATATTACAAACTGATTCAAGTATCAAATTTTTTTGACATACTCTGAATCATAAAGAAATATTTGCTCAAATTCAACAATGTTCCAAGTTTATATGAGTAACTTTTTGTTTGAAAATATGTGTTGAAAGTGCCATGCAAATGATGTTAGTTATTCTGAGGAAAAAAAATTAAAAACACAATGCTGAATACAGGAAAAATCGCTCAGTTCATTGAAAATGATGATTTTTATATGCTTCCATGAATTATAAAAAAATGCACTTTTTTTTTCAATTGGATAAAACAGCAGAGTTTCATTATTATAATAATTCAATTCTATTTATCAGATGTATAAATGCCATATCTACCTGGGTAAGAGTATATCTCCAATCAGAACAGAAAAAAAGTGATTTCAAACCAGAAACAGATGATTTTGATACAGTCTCATCTCCAGTGAGTTTCAATACTTTGAACCCTTAATATCATTGAATGTCATCCAACATTTCTTTACTTCTAGGCTTGCAGAGCAGTTTTAAACTATCTCAATGCTGTTATCAAAGAAATTCGGTCCAATCTGGATGGAAACAAAGTTACTCAGGTTCTTGAAGAGTTGGGCATAAAATTGCATAAAGTTATTTATGATCATATCTTGCAATTTCAGTATAATACTGCAGGTAACATTATTCTTTAAAAAATTCATGGAATAATATCTTGTTCAAATGTAAAAACTTCACAAACGATAAGATTTCCACAAATTGGTTACTTTGAGTCAGACTTGTCAATCTTGATCAATCTCCTTATTAGAGATCCTTGAGGTAGAAACACTGTAAAATATATTTTTCCTTTGTCTTGATAAATATTCATAAATATGTGTTGAACATCAGGAAGGATCAAGGATCTCACCAGAGCAAAAATTTTCATAAAAAAAACTGTTTTACCACAAGCCGGTGACTGATCTCAGGAGGCTAGAAGAAGGAAGAAATATCATATGTTGTGGGTGACATCACTTGACTTCAATGTTTGAATGATTCGCTGGTCTAGCTAGAAGCTTGTTGTTTTACCTTATTGATCTTTTCAAGGTGCCATGGTGGTAATATGCGACCTCAATGAATACCGCGCTTGTATGAAATCTATGGGTCCCCATGTTACAGATCTGTTTGAAACCCTACATGCCCTTTGTAACCTGTTGCTTGTTAAACCTGAAAATCTTCCACAAGTGTGTTCTGAAGATTCCTTGGTAAGTTCACCAATATATTTTCATTAGTGCAGATCTGCTATCATTGAGAGAGAAAAAAATATCTTCCCCATCTGTCTGCACGAATCTGTTTTGCCCAAACCTATGCATAGGCGATTCCTATAGACCAATCAGAGCATGTTTGGGCAAAACGGATTTGTAATTGCACTATCAATAATGTGGTGACCAAAAGTTTGTGTTTTCTTGCAGGGGAGATTGGACAGGATGGTACTACAGAGTTTCATTCAATTGAGGAGTGATTATAAGTCACAAAAGCAGGCATTCTCGAGAGTCTAAAATATTCATCCATACTAGTACAGGGTTTCTAAAAATGATTGTAGCATGAGAATGAGAGGTACTTTTCAGCTCTAAAGGGGCAGAAAGTGGCTGATGGAATATGCCAATATAGTGTATTTTTCAGTTGCTGGTCCAGGGAGTCGAGTTAAAGAAGGCAATTACCCCCCAAAACCTAATCCAGATATTGATAGTTAGTCACCATTTGTGTTATTTTATATGTCTATTGGAAATATATTATTCCTATTTTACTTTTTATTTTCATTTCTTACCAGTATGCAATTAATTTCAAACTTACTTATGAATTAGGATGGCTATCCTTCCTCTGCAAACAGTAAAGTAACCACTAACTTGACTCACTATGAACACATACAAATAAACAATGAACTGAAATGCATCCGATCAATTGGAAGCCTCGCGGAAATTATAAATGAGTTAATAATCAACTTCATGTTTAAATTTACACAATTGCGCTAAAATCTGTTTGAAAATTGAAATTTTGCATCAGTTCTACTCAAGTTCTACCATTACCGGCAAAATGAGAAAGAAATCTAGTCTGGCCAGAGCCACAGCCGTCTCTTCAACTTAGACGGCTGTGCCAGAGCTGACTAGATTCCTTTTTCATTTAGCCGACATTCGTTCTATGGGTTCTAGTTCTACCAACCTTGATATTGAAAACATCGCCTCACTGGTGTCAGAGACTTGCAGTTTTTTTAAATACATGAACATCACTGGTAAAATTGAAGAAGAATACGAAATGTGTTTTCATTCATAGCGGGTGCCTACTAGATTTTTAACAAAATATCATATATGAATTTTGTTTTCATTTGTTCATGCGAAAACGGTTCGTATGAAAGTAAGTCTGAGAACCAAAGTTGCTCAAAATGAATCATTTTCTTTTTATTATTAATTTTATTAATTATGACCCGATTCTATATTTAAAGTCGGAGATTATGATTCCTCCCATTGTGGAATTCCACCATGATTCCTCCGTCATAATTAGAAAATTCAAAATGGCGGATTGACATTAAATTTTGGAAATTTAAGATGTCAGATCCAATACAGCATACAGAGTTTATTAATTATGATCCGATTCTATTTAAAACTGGTACCTGAGGGTTTTTGTGGTCGGAGATTGTGATTCCTCCATCATTATTAAAAAAATTCAAGATGGCGGATTCAATAGGTCGGACGAGCTTTGTAATAGTGTTTCCAAAAATTATTTTCTAGAAATAATATCAGCTATAATCAATACAATGACTGGAAATATGCCATGGACTATATCTCAAATGATCCTTTTCCCAATCCTTACATGGGTACATTATTTCATTATTATTATTTTTTATACCCATATATTTCATATCATATTTGCATCACATAATTTGGTGTCCTGTTATTGTGTAAAAAAACAGACAGGATGTTAAATCACTGAATTTGTTCAGGGTGGATTCTCCAGACAAATAATCATCAATAAAATTATAAATTTATTGAATATCATACAATCAATTACTTTGGATCTTACAAAATAAATAAAAGTTATTTCACAGATCATCAGAAATCAACCTAAAAAATGACAGATCCTTAACTGCTACCTTGAGAAATTGAATACAATAATCCTGATGGAAAGCATTAGATCTCAAGTAAATGTTTTCACAGAGTCATGTCAAATGGTAAGACAAATTACCTGTATGCTACTAGTCAAATTTAAATGGTATAAAAAACTCAGACTAGCTTCAAAGTGAGTAGGAAATTGAGGGCTAAAAATCTAAGCACTTAATAGCACACATTGACTTGTATCAGACTAACGCATGCGGTACCTATTAGTTTCATGCACCTCTCCTAGTTCACCTTTGAAATTCAATTCAATGGAGAAATCAAGATCTCTGTTGTTCCTTGGGTTAGGCTTCATTGTAAACACCCCATTTATCTCTTCATTCTTCTTGACAGTCATGTAATCCTCAAAATAAAAAACAGTCTGCTTCCAGTGGGTGTAAGGAGCATCAGGTGCTGTTGTGAACCCTATACGTTTGTGGCATTTTGTGAATTCCACAGTAAAATAAGTCACTAAGGCTTGGACATAATCATTACGTCTAACTGTTAGAGTGAAGGGAGCATGGAAGTCCAGATCTTCCTTCTTCACTGTATACAAATCCACTTCTTTGACCAAAGCTGGACCAGTGACAACTTGTTTAGGGTCCACTACATCCACAAGGGGTTCACTGATAGCTACCTTTCGAATTGAGCTCATATCAAAACCATATACATCATCCCACCAGTTGATTTTCTCATCCTTGTACTGACGATCTTCTATGGCTGTGATGAAGAGGGAGCAGCGGTCTGGGAAGAGGAGACCATCAGGTTCCAGCCACTTGTCTCGGGCAAACAGCACGGTATCCAGCATGCTCTCATAGAACAAACAGTATCCCATCCACTCAGAAATGATGATGTCAACCTTCTCAATACCGTCGGGGAGCTCGATTTCCTCAACTTTGCCTTTGACAATGGTGATGATGTGGTCCAGATTGTTGGTTTCGATGATCTGTCTGGCATAGTCGACGATATTCGAGCACTCAACAGCTAACACTTTCTTGGCTCCAGCTTTAGCAGCAAACATGCTCAAGATTCCAGTGCCACAGCCAATGTCCATGACCACTTTGCCGGCGAACAAATGTTTATTGTGGTACATGGAGTTCCTGTAGGTAAGAGTCCTCACTTCGTCTTTCAACATTTCTTCGTGGATGCCGAAATGGGCGTAGGAATCGAAGTAGTAGTCTCTGGAAGTCATCTCGTCGGCAGGAACGTCTTCCATTTTTTCTTCTTTGCAGTCTTTGCTAACGTGATTGTTGATGGTCGGTGCGACTTCCATGGTCTCCATTTTGTTTGATTCGTTGTTCTGCAACGAAAAATGCGGATGTTCAGCCGGCATCGTTCAACACGTGCAGAACACAAGAACAAAGCAAGAATGGCGGTAGATGCAAATTGTTTGGGTAGCCGGATGAGGATGATTTTGGGCTAACAAGATTATGCGAATGATACTGAATAACAAAAACGATTATTACCTTGTTGAGGATGTGCGAAAAATGTAATTTTACGACCACTTTCTTCGCGCCCAACCACAACGCTTGTTTGGCTTTCTGAAAGATTTTTTTTCTAATTTGTCAGTTAGTTATTCATTATTCTGTCAATGTCAATATTGTCAATTTGGATCAGTGTTGCCAAACTTCAAGTAAAAGGTGAAATTATTATTTCCAATTGGCCAAGGAACAAATTATAAAAAACGATAAAAAAAGAAGAAACAAAATGTCTCTCGTTCTGACAAGTGACAAACTTGAGGCCCCGCTTTCCCCCGCTTCCCGCTTTTCTAAACTCCTCACAAGCGACACAACACAAGCACAGCTCACAAGTTTGGACTACAGGGAGTTGAGGGAGTAGGTATTGCAAATAGATTATTAGCATTATTATGTTATTAGTATAATTATAACTCCGACGAATCAAGGGTAGTATACAAAATATTAGGAATCATGATTCAAAGATTGTGATGAATGGGAGCTATAGAAATCTTGTTATTACTTCATTATGAATTTTATATAATGGTTTCATAACAAATACTTATATGCTCAATCTACGGTATTTCACTTGAAAATAATATAAATTCCAATTTCTACATAATTCTAGGTAGGTTTTTTGTTTACAAAATACAATAATTATCATTTATTCATCCCTTATATTCCTATCTTCTTCATATCAGTTTCAAGAAATTTGGTTTGGAATAACCCTAAAATAAATAAAAACATTATAAAACATTGATATCTTCCTATTAGAAGAATCTTACGATTTTCTCATTCAACTCCAGCACAGTCAAAGGGGCTATTGTTGGTCTCCCATGGGCACATTGAAAAGGCAAATCACAGGATGATAATTGTACTAGGAGTTTTCTACATCTCTCTTTACTCAAACTATCTCCAAACTTAATGGCACCTAAAATAATTTTCGATTGATTGTACATTGATTAGAATCAAAGTTTTGAATGATGTCACCTCTACAAGCTTCCAAATTAACAACATTCTGTAACAGTTTTGGCAGGGACTTCAAATGGACACCTCTTGTAGATTTGAGATGCTCAATTATTTCTTTGATTAGCAGTTGCATCATTTTATTCAATGTATCTGAAAAATTCTGCAAAAAACTCAAACCATTGCATACAATTTGAATTTTCTAATATAGAGCATATCTTTTCATATAAGTAAATTATTTTGCCATTCACATTGATAATTGATTATCTAAAACAAAAACCAAAATTAGAAAAACACAGAATCATACATTATCTTTGAATTTCGAGAACAAACAAAGGGGCACAGCTGAAATGTTAACACCATTCCCGAAAATCTCCATAGAAATTCCTAGATAATCCAAGTATGATTCATGATTTTGCAGCAAGGACAAATCATTTTGTGGAACGAAAAATACCAATTTTTCATCACACTCAGACTTTGCACCATCATATTCTGGAAGAAAAAAATCAAAATTGTAGAGTCACAAGAAAATCAAAATCCAACTAACTTTTCAACAGTTCCTCTAAGCGGATTCTCTCATGAACTGCATGCTGATCGAAAAGGACTAGCAGATCTGATTTCTTGTCCAACACAACAATGAACTTTTTGTCAAGTTGACCTATCACTTCTATATTTTCAAATAACTCTTTATTGAAACTTATTACATTGTTGATATTATTCTTTTTCTTACTGGTACTGATATCTGGAATACACCCTTCAAACATTTTGAGTTTCTCTTTGTAAATATTTTTGAAAAATGTTTCTGGATCTATAAAAACATGATTTTGAAAGATTAAAATCTACAAGAAAAAACTCATTAACATACCAACATCATTCAAGTAATGTTGCCATTTGATATAAAGCAGCTCATTTTTATAAGTCTCCATTATGTATTCTAAAAGTTTATCTTTGCCATTTTGACTCAAAGACTTATCAACTTGTTTAGTTTCTGTTAAAATTGGGGACATTCCTTTTGGCAAAAAATCGAATCTTTTACCAAACTTGAACTGCTGTTTCTTGCCAAGTTCAGGGGTCTGAAATGTGGTGAACCCTGTCTTTTTGTTCATGTAGTAGCAGTTTCCACATTTGTTGAATTTTTTGAGCCAGTCATTTCCAAAGTCTTGTGTGAACTGACTATCCCAATTCAGAAATTCTTTCGCTAACAAACTTTTTTCACCTTCCAATTCTTTATCCAAAATTTCTTGAGTCCGTTGTTTGCTCAGAGAAATGAGTTTGGAGTGATCATTAAGCTTTGATACAGTCCCATCTTTTATTTCTTCAGGTCCTTTTTCAATATCTTCACTATTTGAATCCAAAATTTCGATAACCTCTTGATGATTCTCTTGAGAATCGTTCAATAAATTTATTGAAGTTTCTATGGGTGGATTGCAATGTTCTACAGGAGATGGTGTGAACAGCATATCAGTTTTCTCGTTTTTTTGTGTACTAAATAAAGAAGGTTGAAATTGTCCAAAGGAATTGATTGTCCATTCCTTTTCTTTATTCAAATGAAAAGGTTCAAACTGTTTGAAAGAACTATTTCTCCAATCATTATTTTTTTTATCTTTTTGTGTACTCAAATGGACCGGTTTGAACTGACCAAATGTGCCGACAGTCCAATCATTAGGGTCGTTAATTTTCGATACCTCCTCTCTCAAAAAATGTGTCTTGTTTTCCATGATAATGGGATTATTTTGAAAAACTTTATTAAATGGGGGTTGGTCATGTTCAGCGGTATTACGTGTTGGAAAATTTCTGTTCAATTCTACAGGATGTAGATTCAAATAAGGTACTGGTATATAAGGTTCATGAACAGTGTTGAAATATCCGATAGGGTAGTCAGGATGCTGATGATAGCAAACTAAATTGTTATCTAAATATCTTTTTGGCGCGAAATAGGGACTTCTTTCATAATTCTGAAATGGTTTCTCTTTTCTTACAACATTGAAATTACAATTTTCAAAGGTGCCTCTGTTTGGTCGTAGGTATTGATTCACTGATGGGTGGTGATAATTGATTAAATTTTCATATTTCTTTTTTTTTAATAATTGATCCATATGTGAATAGGTCTTGGGAAGTTTGATATTTTCATTCAACAAACTGTCACCAATTGATTGTTCTTCAAAATTGAAAAGTTTGTTATCACCTTTGTGACAATTGCAGTGACATTTTTGAGAGATATTGAATTGGATGTCGGGGTCCACATCATTTTCTTGAGCCTTTTTGGTGACAAATTTGAAATGCGATTTTTTTCCAATCTCAGAAAGCACGACAGTATAATTCTCTGGATTCATAGCAAATTTGATACCCTTTGATCTATGTTTTCTTACCTTTTTCTTATATCTTTCATTAATGCTGGTCTGTACAGCTTTTGAAACAATTGTTTTAGCTACTTTATAGGTCTGAACATATTTAGAGGGATTCTCTTGTTGTTTCTTTCTTTTCCTGATTTTTCTAGTGCTTTTTACATTGACAGAAACAGACATAGTATTGCTCATACCCTTAAATTTGGTCTGGTAATTATTTTCCATCTGAAAATTCGATTCTTCTTCATAAATTGTTTCTTGGCTTCCACCCATCTTGTCTAGATTTTCATCACTGCTGTAAATTTGAGTGGATTTCAGAAACATGTCCATTATGAGATTTTTTCCTTTATTTTGATCATCTGTGAATTTTGAAATACTTGATTTTATATCATCTTGCTTCTCAGGCAAAATATCATCGTTTTTAGTAGTCATTTGATTTTTCGCTATTTTGGCTCTGCTTACTGTTATGGGCAGGGGTTTTTTAAATTTCTTCTTATTTCTGAAATCTCCTTGGAAAGAAGTTGCCTCACTAATATTAAGACTGTCACCATAATCAATTTGTTCACTACTAGTAACTTTCGGATTATTTTCTATTTCCAATACTGATTTATTATTCCTAGAAGTTTTTTCCTGAACATTTTCTGGTATTTGTGTTGCTATAACATCATCGTTTTCCGTTTTTCCCATTTCATTAGTCTCTTCTACATTTTTTCTTTTGTAACCAAATCTTCTATAAGCCCCAACTATTTGAGACACTCCACAATCTTTTTTGAGTTCTTCTTCACTGAGAAATTTCTCTTTTTTCTTCATGTTACTGTCTTTACCAAAAAATGAATCAATCAATTTATTGATACAACGATGAATGATATCCCAATTTTCAAATACCACCATGGTTTTCGTGGGATTGAACAAGACATCAACTTTTGATATTGGACATTTTATATTAATCACATAAACAGGATACTTGGTTAAAGCAGCTACCGGATTTTTCCTATCTATTTTTTTATTCTTCTTGAATAAACTGCCCACTAATTTTTGTATTTTTGAAGAGAATATAGGCCTCTTATTCACGTAAATATACTGAAGGTTCTTATTTTCCGACATAGTTTTATAGATCAAAGCATCGATTGTTAGTTGGTTTTTAGATATTTTCATTAAATTGAAATCATCGCCCAAGTTGGGATGCAAATGTTTGAAAGATGATATCAAGTCCTGACTTTTTTGGCTATTCAAAATGAGCTCACAAGTGACATCATTCCTAACCGAGAACGTCACTTTCGGATGTAATATGATCAAACTTTCAATTCCCCTTTTTATCTCATCTAGCTCTAACTCGGGTATTATCCGTTTTCTTCTGACTGGCAGATTGTGAAAAAAACCTTCAATTGTAACTGTAGTGCCAACGCTTGGCCGTGATTTGGTTCTGCTCACTTCAACACTGGAGTGTTTCCCCAATGTTCTACTGTAGGTGTTACCTGTATTCAGATGCCTGGATGTGATATTGACGGATTTTGAGCACGCCACTATGCTTGCTATAGCTTCCCCTCGGAAACCATAATGACTTACATACTTTTCCAACTCTTCCAGACTCTTACACTTATTTGTGAAGTATCTCAAACCCAAAAGGGGCATATTTTCCTCAAGGATACCATCTCCGTTGTCCACTACTTGGATTTTAAAAGACACTAAGTTTAGCCTTATTGCTATGGCTGTAGATTTTGCATCTAAGCTGTTTAAAACCTGGAAATTTATAATTGATGACACGAAATTATAGAGAATCAGATACTGACTAGTTCTGTTACACACTGTGAAACTGTGTTAATTGAGAAAGAACTTCTCAATTTGTCTATTACATTGGATTTTAGTCTTTTCAACTCCATTTTCAAGGTTACTGTCACCTTATTGCTGTTATTTGTGATTAATTTTCAAAGCCTACTTATGACATTGTAATTAATTATTCTCTCAAACTTTCATAACAGAAGAAAATGGTGGGAAGATATCAAGAAAAAGATTTCAATTCACGTTTTTTTGCGCTCATCTATTGGCGGTCATTTTTTCGCGGTCATTTTTCTACAGTTGTTTCTTAACACAAGCAATGCATGTTCATATTATTAGGAAACATCATCATGAATATAAAATGAACCTGAACCTTTCTTTCTCTTGTAGTACATTCCTGAAGAAAAATGCTACACTAATTAGTTTGATAAAATGAAGACATAAAATAAGCTGGATGATTTATTGACTAGATAAAAGCCCCAAACAGGAAATTAAAAAAATATTTCCTATGTATAAGAAATATGAGTACCTACCTAATGAATATAGGAATATAGTTTCAAGTGGAATGCATTAAACAAAAAAATCAGTTAATCAACTTATTGCACTGTTTTTCTCAGTCTGCTGTTGCTGATACATCTCTTTCAACATATTCAAATTGTCTCTGAGAGAAGCAATCTCCTCAAATCTCTGTGCATCTCTAGCTTGCTCAATATAACTCCTCACAATATTCATTTGTGCTAAAAGAGGATCATCTTCAATCACTGCATCCTGATTTGGGACATTAGCTGGGGACCATCCAGTGGCCACAGCAACCTTTTTAATAGTTGTCCTGGGGACTGATATGATGTCATCTTCTCTATTCAGCTTGGCTGAACGTTCACCTTTCATTTTTTCAATTTCCTCCTTGCTAGGGGGTGCTGGTAATGTAAGGAGATGGTCTTTTATGTATGCAGAGGTAGCTTTCCTGATATTGTTATGCAGTATAGCTGCTTTTGGTGTTTCCTCCTCTACAGGCAATGAAGTTATTTTTTTGCTCAGGGTGTCTATCATTTGAGCTTTGTCTGCAATAACAGTTCTAAGGGATTGTAGGTCTTGAAGTAAGTAGGTCGTTTCACCAGAAACAAGTGAATTATACATCTAAAAAGGGAATTTAATTACAAAACAAATCAGTTAAGTGCATTTTTCATCAAAATTTTCTAGAACAGTAAATTTATACAAACCTAAAAAATTTCTAAATCTGATTTTGTTATATAATGGGACTAGACAATTGAATTACTTGATAGCAAGTACATTCAAGTAGAATATTGGCAAACTATTTATATTTCATAATGGCATAATTTTATACAATTCATTATCTAATGAATTGAAAAATATACATGATGTAAGAAGATTTGAGGTCAATTTTAAACTCCTCACCAGGACAATTTTATTGAAAAATATTTGACATGATTTGATACTCAGAATTGAAATGTTATAACTTTCATCTTAAGAAAAAGTATGTATTTGTTCTACCATGTGGAATTCATTTGTTAACCTTTTAATATTATTATTATTTTTTATATGTGTTCATGTATCCCTATTATAGAAAGATATGTTTCTTGGGATAATAAAAACAATCAATCAAGTGGTATCATTTTAAATGAGCCAATTTGAGAGAAGAATCAAGATCACTTCTTCAAATATGAAGGAAACAATCAAAACAATAAATGAGAGCAACAAAAATTAGAACAATTACCTTATTATACATTTCAACAGAATTATGAGCTTGTGACTTGTTATTCTGCAAATGCATATAGAGCTGGCATATTATTGGCTGTATAACTTGTTCAATCTGAACTCTTCTCCTACTTTCAAGCATCTCTAAGCAATGATAACATATCCTCAAGCTCTCCATTTCCTTGGCTGAACCTCCATCCCTACTGCTCACATTATTAACTTGTGCCACTATTGTCACTAGGAAGAAAAGTCATCTGGTACTCATGCTTTACTGAGACCAATTATTTTACTTACTGGCAGTTTCATATGAAAGAAAATATGAACAGGAACTGCACATTATGCTGCCACATAGCCTACAGTGGTGTTGTCTCCTTGTGATGTTGAAAGAAGATGCACAAGAAGGGCATCTGCTCACTGTGGTACCATCTAACCAAGCTACAAGTTCTTGTTCATGTTGTTTTCTATCAGCACCATATACTCTCAGTAGTCTATCTAACCTTATAATGAGTTTATTGGTTTCTGCAGTTCTGTGATCTAAGCGGTCCCTTCGTACAGATTTGAAGTAGTCAGTGTGTGACTGGGTAAGGCCTGGTTCCTGTGGTTCACTGTATTCTAAGTAGTATTTTTCCTTTTCAAAGGAAATTTCTGTTTTGAATGATTCAAGATCTTGGTCGTCTAAGGTGAGTATTTTCTTTTTTACTTTTCCATAAATATCTACAAAATTTATGGGCTGAAATCATATGGAAATAAGTATTTATAATCTGATTTACCTTTAATTGATCTCAATATATCCTTTTCTTCAGAATGCAAGTCTTGAAAGTGGGTTATCAAATTGTTAGCTGAACGTAAATCTTTGTGACAAATTGGACACAAAAAGCCCTCTTGGATTGAAGCTTCTGCCATCACAGCAATATAATAATTGAATATTTAAAACATAAAATTTAAATAAATGACATTTTCAATTTTCGCGACCCTCCTACTTAACCTAACAAATGCATGTCAATAAATCGTCTACTTCTTCTGATTTTAGTAACCTAGTACTCTTATCGATAGCCTTTGCTCTTATTATTATTAGCTCATTGGCATCTAACCAATGTTGGAATACTGCAAGTCGTTTGAAAAACAAGACAAGAAGATAATCCTGAGAAGAAGCAAGTAGATCTATTCTTCCCAAATTTCAAATTGTATTTTTTGAATTCATAATGAATACCTACCTAAATCAGTTCAAAAAATCAAGTTAAGATGCCTTCAAGTTTAGAACTGCTTGCTTCATTTATGCTCCCACCCTATTAGAAAAATAAATCAATTTAATATCAGTTACCAGAGCAACTATTTATTAAAGCTTCAAAAAGTTCAAAATCCTCTCAATTTTGATGTTTGATCAATATAAGGATTCAATATAGTAGTGAAACGGGTATTCAAAAAAATGGATAGTATTTTATTGCCCTCCGAAATTGAAACCTACATTGACACTATGAAGCCTCAAAAAATGAAGGATCTTGGCACCATACAGTTGAATATTTACTCCACATTAATCTAAAAAACCAGTGTTTTCACAAAATTCGTTTTAGTTGGTTCGACTGGCATCATAGATTGCAGAAACTGAATCAAGAAGCCCTAATCGAAGCATCACTCTTGAAAGAGGAACATGTAAAAGAAACCTTGGTCACTTTCGGCAAAGTAAAACATGCGTATACAAGTAGCAGGTAGCAATTCTAGAAAACATTGAACATTTTGTTGTAGCTGAACATCTTGACTCATGAAGCTATACTCATAAACATTTGGAAATACAAAGTCCTGCCTATTCTTACCAGCCTAGAACCGTGCCCTGAAAGCACTTTCATAGTCTACTCCATATTATACCATGAGGCAGTTTGTGTTGCTCTACTAGAACTCGTTCTCTACCACCCAAACTGCTGTGAAGCCCTGGAAGACACAGCTGGCGATTTGCTAGAATACGCGACTAGTAACGTGTCTCAGTTGCTATCGGTCAAATCAACCGAGCCTGGTAGAAATGAAAGTGCTTCTGAAGAAATCAGTAGGCAGAAAAACAACTTGACTTTCGATATCGGGATAAGATCCTTGTCCATCACGAGATACATCTGTGAAAACCTTGAATCGTATGTCTTAAAATGCCAGCAGTAATCAATTTAGCTAGCAAAAATGTTTATTGTAGGCTGCCTGTCAGTATTCGCTCAAAGATTTATACAGAGTATGATATACCCGTGCTGTTTACTGAGATCATGTTGGCTAAACCTTGGGCAAAGGATGGCAAGCTTTATTCAGGTGGAGTATGGAAAGATTGGGACAATGAACAATTAGGACAGTGTGAGGCTCAGGTCAGAATTTTTCCTTTAGTGGCATGTCACAAAAATACACTATGGCAATGCCACGGCCATTGTCGGTATAAAGACTAGCCCTTTATACAATGGCAACACATTATTTCAAAATCCTTTTTCAAGTACCTACCCCTACCTGTTATCCGCGATAGAAAATAACACGTCGCTCCACCTGGCGGCAATAACTTGAACACTTCTTGAGCGGTTTGTTTTGATGATATGACCAATGAGCAGAAACAAAAAACAAATGTGAACCAATAAAACCAAAGTAAACATGCCGCTTTGACAACTTTCAATAACTCCGATAGGTGGCGTGCGCTTATTTTCTATCGCGAATAGTAGGGAAACAAGATCTCTGAATCAACATGTCTGAAAAAGTTTTCATTAGGTATGGCTTACTTTGAGACAACTGCTTCTGGACCCTGAATGTCAAAGTTACTACTCTCTAACAGAGAACAGACGCAAACAACTTGCAAAACTACTACCGTTAATGAAGCCAATTCTGCTGGACCAATTGTCTCCTCTTATGGAGCTGAACCATTGGTTGTGCAGGATGAACATGATGGAACAGAATGCTGCTCCCCCAAAAGCTCTTCTGATCGAGGCCATTTTAGAGATAAAAGACAGTATATTGAAGGAAACTGGTGGAAAGTGGAGAAAAATGGCAACCAACCAGTTGCCCACAGTTTTTACAACTGATAAGAGTTTGCTTACCAATATTGCAACTAAGTTAGTAGAAATATGAAAACATTTGATTTCTTTTAGCTTTTTTAAAAGTACAGTTTCAGAAACAATTAGATGTTTTTTAGGTTGAGTGAATCATACAATACAGAACTTTTGGAAAAATTTGGAGCTGAAAGTCAAACAAAATGCATTAAATGTGACAAAGAAGCCATTCAGAGGTGTTCCCATTGCCATAAGGCTTGGTACTGCAGCAGGACATGTCAAATTGACCATTGGACAGAACACAAGCCTCACTGTTTAGCCTAATTCTAATTTAGGAATGTTCTCTAGAGGAATATGAAATAAATGCTTGGGATTTATGTTGTTTTTTTTTATTCATTAAAACCTAACAAGTTACGAATTTTTAAGATATTCCCTGAGGACATCAAGGGCAGGTGATTCTTCGCCATAATCCTGAAAATAAATGAATCAAGATTGACTCTGGAAAAAGTGAAAATAAACGGTGTTTCAATGATAATTAAATTCAGATGGCATGTATCAGCACAACATTATTTTTGGGTAACCTCAGTTGAGGGAGCCTGCCAAAAAAATCATCATAATAAACAGTAATTTCCTTCAATTAGTTTTCATTCCCAAGTGAAAATGAATTTGTTTCAATTAACTCACAAGATCAAGCTCAATAGATTTGAGCCATTCACAGCTGTAAATCTGAAAGAATACCAAATACAAAATGTTCCCAAAATACCACATTCAAATTCACTGCAAAAATACCATTCTTAGGCTTCTAGGCAACCCTGAAGATAAAATTCAAACTTAATAATAAATCAAGTACTTATGAGATGAATAATAATGTTATATTGGACAAACATGTGGAAACATTGGTACAAGATTTAAAGAGCATATTGCTCACTTCAGATATCAGTTGATAAATCAACTGTTACCCAGCCCAACATATCCTTGTGACTAGTCACCCAATCAGTCCTCCCAGTCCCCAAAACCTCACTTCAACTTTTTCTGGAGTGAAAACAAAATCAAGTTTCAAAATCCAAGTATAATAGATATCGATTTGAACTGTAGAAAAGCTATATAAATTAAAGATGGAGTTCAAAATTCTTACCCTGATCACAACACAAGAACACCCAACAACTTTGCGTGCCTTCCCTGTATTGTCAATCTTGCAGAGCCCAGACCATTCTCCCAACTTCTTGTTGTTGTCGACCTTGATGAGGGGGATCTGGTGCTCCGAGCAGAGCGCCTGCACGAGTTTCTTGTACATGGGTTCATCGCAATTGTCAGCTAGCACGCACAACACAGCCTGCCTTTTGTCCAAAGCTTTAGCAGCCTCATGTATCCCATGAACGACTCCGTCGTGAATCAAGGCGGTTTTCAATACACCTTGAAGCGCTTCGTTCACGTCCATGGGTCCCCCAGATGGGACTGGGGCCGAGGGTGCATCATCACTGAAAACAGGCTGATATGAAAACACAGATTTGGAAAGTACAGGTTATCAGAAAAAAGTGGGTTATTGTCGTTCAGATGGCGATTATCAGCACAATTTTTGTAAAATTGGGTAACCTCAGAAGAGGGAGCCGCCAAAAATCATCATGAAAATAATTAAAACAGGAATAATAATAAAAACTAGGTTAGGTACTCACACTTCAACATCAGACATTTTTGGTTGTTTGGCTGAAAAATTAATAAAAATAACAGAATGAGAACATGATATCGATTGCAATTTGAGTGAATAGTTTCCATTTTTTCACTGATGGCTTGAGATTCGTGAGAAAAAATAAAATTCGAAGAAAATATAGTAGACATTTACCTAGCAAACTTGACGGTCAGCAACGAAAAAGATGGAAAACGCAGAAGACGAAGATGAAATTTTATTTTTATCACCGTGTTTATCTTTTCATTGGTCACAATGGCAAGAATTCAAACAGCCATGACTTTCGAAAGAGACGTATTTTTAGACCAATCAGATGGATTCTAGCTATGGCGGTTAATTTGATTTTGGTCAGGTATCCTCTGATCAGTAATAAAATAACTTCTTTTTTTCTGTGACGGGAAAAAAGTTTGGCATTTCATCTCTGTTGGCAGGTTATAAAATGTCACTTTTCATAAATTACTTTTTTCCCGTGGGAAAAAAGTGAGTACTTCTTTCCCGGATATATATCACATATATATACTCTGTTAATGGCTTTTGTTGTGCTATAGTTCCGAAAAATGAGTCAATAATACCGTCTCCGAGAAAGATCTGCAAGTCCTTTTATCTTCCATTCGACTTCGCGGTTTCGTATATTACTACTAGACAACTACTGAATTCGCAATTTTTCGAAATCAAATCACAGAATTGAACTGACAGAAGTGACATCAGATATTTGATTACTTCAAAAGAATGATAAAGATGTCTATAAAACGCAGGTGTCCCTACTGTTAAAAACTTGAAATTTCACGTCGATAATTTTCAGAATTCGAAATAATGTAATATCTCCTCAATATTGATTCGTCCTTCCTTCTGCCACAGAAAAAAATAGTGTATTATACACGGGAAAAATATTAGATTTTAGCTCACGGTTTTTTGTCTCCCTCCGCTACGCGTCGGGAGACAACACAACCTGGAGCTAAAATCTACTACTTTTTTCCCTTGTATAATAAATAACTATTATTATTCAACAAGGAACTTTTTGATAAGGGTTCCATTCTGCTACTAGAAGGTACTGGATCCAAGTTAATATAAATCTCAAATTATTAAAAACAAGTGTTTAAAGACAAAGTCAATTATTTACAAGAATGTCTGTTTTTTCAATAACAAAAATATTATATTACATTTTAAATAGTCTTAAACCTGATACTATAGAAACAACTTTATAATTCATCTATGGGACTAATAACTTCAATTGTCTGATTGTATTTCTTCACCATCACTATTGAACTGTGAGGAGACCCAAGCAAGTCCCCATTTCAAATTGGTTAACATGAATTTCAAAGCTTTGGTCCACTGTTCTTCTGAATTCAACTGAATCCTGAAATTAAAATCATCATACCACAGAATATACAGACTTGAAAATGTCTCACTTGATTGAGTAACTGGCATCTTTATCTTCTATCTTTCCTTTATTTGTTCTGTATGGAAAACAGAAAACCTTGTTCCCCTTTTCCAATTTCTCGACTTTTTCCTGGAACTGTTGCAAACAATCCAAAAATGCCACCATTCCACTGTCAAACTTTGTGTCCCACAAGAATTTGAAACCCCCTGATCCATAGAGAGGAAGTTCTTTTTCTTCCTCAAGAACCTGAAAATATTAAACAATAATATACATATAACTAGTATTTTATATAAATGAAAAAAAAAATGTGATTTGTTGAATTATGCAAGTCTTGATTAGATTTTATATTGAAAAATAGATGTAGTTACATACCACAATATGTGAATGGTTTCCAAATGGCACAAGCTTGAACCTTTCAAAAGTGAGGTTGATTTTTCTAGCAAGAGAAGACAATAATAGAGCTGTCTGGCCCCAAGCTGCATTGATCTCAGACCAGTCCACTGGTGCTGATGGCAGTCGTCCTAATCTAAAATTATTTATAGTACCAAAATGACCCTTATGCCAAATATGGAAGGTGGCATTGAAAACATTGGTCCTCTGCAGTTTATCAAGCTGAAGACTTATGTAGTTCAATTGACATTCTAGGCTGAAAAAATCATGAAATAATATTGAAACACATTTAAAAAGTTCAGGTACCTTCTTCCTTCTTCTTCAAGAACTAAGAAATCTCTGCGATGTCTTGTGTATTCTTTCCAATATTTATCTTCCTCTTGGGTAATTTTTTCTGATATAGCTTCTTGCTGTCCAATGGATCTCAAGGTTTCCTCCTCTTCCTTTTGCAGAGCTTCCAACTCATCAAGAAGTCTATTTTCTTCTGATTTCAGATCATTCAGTTCTTTTTCAAGATCACTGAGTTTGGGTTCATCTTTTTCACTCAGTAACCTGTAATAATAAGTATCAGCAATAGTTGAGCCAAAATGTCTAGACATTTGTTCATACATTTTGTAATATCTGCTATAATCATCATAATCTTCTTGTGTGATTTTGAGTTGTTGATCTAAAATTTCTATCAAATTATCTGTACATTCATCACATAAGGGGTGATCAATATTTGAATTCCCTGAAATTGTATCAAATAGAGCAGCTTGAATCTGAAAACAAAATCATCAGTAAAATATACCCAGCTATTGTGAGATGTAATAAAAGTGTGTACCTTGAACTGATGACTCAGTAGATCAACTTCATTTTCATCTGATATCAACATAAAACCATTAGCTCCATTTCCAGAATCAGACAGCCTACAAGGGGGCACATAGTGATCGAAACTGGTCGCTTGGGACTCCAAATCAACATCAGGATTGGAATGTATTGGCACTAAAACGATACCTAATTGTAAATCCTATAAGATAATAACAAAGGAAACACACACAATTTAGCTCTGCTGAAGTGTGTTCACTGAAAGAATTCAGGGAATCATCGAGACGAAGTGCCTGGGAACATCTCTGGCATGCAAAGGATATGAAGAGTTTTTCTTCAGCCATCACTAGAGATTTATATTTTCAGTTTCATTTTGCTTTTTCCTCTCTTCTCACCATTTTCAACCACAACAATAACTTCCACGCATGCCCGTCATCATCAGCTGATATCTTGATATCTGGGAGATTTTTTAGATTATTTACGGATTGAAGCAAAGGGACACAAAAGCAAAGCCGTTTTATATGAAACGAAGAGTTGAGGTAAAAAATACATCTGTCAATGTCAAGATGTCAAGTGTCATCAAGTTACAAATGTCACTTATATAAGGTAAGGTTTAATATTTTTTAATTTACGGAATCATGTCCGAAAACTCCGAAATCAAGCCATACAGCTACTTCGACGCCCCGAGTGGTGAAGATGTCTTCAATAAGTGGTATTGTTTGATGAAGCCCACAGCTCTCACTGCCGCTGGGATCGGAATTTTCGACGTCCTTGCTTGGTCTCACCCCAAGGGCTATTTGCCAACCCTAGGCCGTTTGGTACATGTATGCTGGCCACTTTTTGGGGCCAGCACAGCCTTTGTGGTAACCTCCAACATTTCTTCAAGCTTGAGAAAGAAGGACGATAACTTGAACTGGTTCATTGGGGGATTTGCAGCAGGAAGTGTTTTTGGACTCTGGAGGAAACGGACCATTGTGGGATTCAATATGGGGATGCTTTTCGGAACGCTGGCTGTCATCAGGAAGATCATGCATGATAACAACTGGTTGGTAACTCCTCCCAATGATATTGTAATTGGCAGTCAAGGTGTTTGGGACTATGATTTCACTTTAACAAAACATAGGCCAGGTAACTGGACCACTGGTAAATAATTTGTGTGTATTTAGATGCAGTTGTGTAAATATAAATATCTTATTGAGTAGCAGGTACATCTTTTCAATTTACCAACCAAAATAAATGTATATCATCCTCTAATCTCTGACATACTATCCTAGACATGAGTCAAAAATTTTCTAGATGTCATCGTGAAAGGGCTATGAATTATTATTGAATGTTCCTTTAAATTTCTCACAAAAACAAGTGGAATAATGTTCATGAGAATTCTAAACTAACATGCTTCTTTAACTGTTTTCATTGGTAGACAAATATGTTATATATGTGAAATATTAAAATTGGGGATTGGTTTATTTTTCAGTAATAAATGAATACCTATATGAATCCAACCATTATTTTTGTTCCATAATGAGAAATTGGTTAAAAATAGACTCTAAATGTTTCATAGTCATTACAGGAGACAATTAAACTTATTCCAAAAAAAAAGATTTACCCATGCAGCTCTAGCTGAATAGTGATTTCACTAAATTACCACATAATATGAAAGATTGCAGACATATTTCCAAATTTAAAGTAGCATTAAAAGACACATGATTTCATTATGAAATAGATAAAATTGATACTTTGCCATCAATTGATTGATCCCTGTTGCTATTTTATGATTGATTCATTTAGCATTTTTAGATTCTTCAGATTTTTTGTCACCTATTATTATTGTTGGTAATCAACTTTCTCATACCAGAATTTCATTTCTGACCGGAAACTATTTTCTCAATAAACAATAGTGTATAGTAACATTATTTTATTCTATAATCATTCAATGTAATACATTTTAGGATAAAAGTTCTCATGAAACCCAATAATATAAATATTCAAAACAAATCATCATAAAAAAACACAAACATAACAATGAATCAGGAGAAAAACCACTCTAAATGACAATCTCTACAATCTATTAAAATGCTGTGCAATCTAATCTATTGAAGGTAATGGGGCTGTTTCAAGGGTTGTTTGTTCTGTAGGATGAAATAGCATGATAAGATGCTATGTTGAAAAGTTACAAATCTAAAATCACAATACTTTCCAAACAATATTATTTTTTTCAAAATAATCAAGTGTTAATAAGATTGAAATGTCTGAGCTGCAGATATTGTTCCTTCTCAATTGTCATTCACATGATTTACACTGTTTTCAATTAAATCTGCATCTTCTTCATCACTCACATATTCTATGATTTCTTCTATAACATCTTCATCATCTGAATTTTCATCCTGAAAAAAATAAATTCATGTACAGTCGTCTTCAGAGATCATGTCGCGGTTGGACGGTGTCAGCGCTCTTATTGCAGGAGTTTTTGAGAATGCCATCATCGTCCATGTGTGACATGTTTTCTGAAGATGACTGTACACAAAAGACTAAAATTGGGTGTTCATTTTTGTCCTCTAATTGTTTGTCTAGTTTGATTTAGACCATCTGAAATTCCAGTCCAGAACTTTTTATTTCAGACTCAAAGGATGAGGAATTATTTTATCTTCATTCAATTTCATTCAATATTTGGGAAAAAACATCATCCTTTAGAGAAATGAATTTTGAAATACCTGAAGAAATAAATCATTTACATTACATTATAGAGAAAAACAGTGATTGAAAATAATGTTCATAATATTTTTTTTTCAATTATTTAGTAGATGTAGATATCTAGTTAAAATTTAGTGTCCAATTAAGATATTAGTGAGGAGTAATCCGTGGTGGAATTCTGGTGTATAAACAACTGGAATTCCGGTGTATAAACAACTGGAATTCCTTGGAATTTCTTGGATTTCCTTAGAATTCTTTGGAAATCCTTGGAATTTCTTGAATTTCCTTAGAATTCCTTCGAAATCATTGGAATTCATTGGATTTCCTTGGAATTCTTAGGGTGCAGTGTGGTATAATTCTGGTGTACAAACAACTGGAATTCCTTGGAAATCCTTGGAATTCCTTGGATTTCCTTGGAATTCTTAGGGTGCAGTGTGGTATAAATCAGGTGTACATACAACTGGAATTCCTTGGATTTCCTTAGAAATTCTTTTGAAATCCTTGAAATTTCTTGGATTTCCTTAGAATCCTTTAGAAATCCTTGGAATTTCTTGAATTTCCTTAGTATTCCTTGGAAATCCTTGGAATTCTTAGGGTGCAGTGTGGTATAAATCTGGTGTACAAACAACTGGAATTCCTTGGAATTTCCTGGATTTCCTTAGAAATTCTTTGGAAATCCTTGGAATTTCTTGGATTTCCTTGGGCGAAGTGTGGTATTTCTGGTCTACAAACAACTGGAATTCCTTGGAATTTCTTGGATTTCCCTAGAATTCTTCGGAAATCCTTGGAATTTCTTGAATTTCCTTAGAATTCCTTGGAAATCCTTGGAATTCCTTGGATTTCCTTGGAATTCTTAGGGTGCAGTGTGGTATAAATCTGGTGTACAAACAACTGGAATTCCTTGGATTTCCTCAGAATTCCTTGGAGTTTGTTGGAACTCCTTGTGTGAAGAGCAGTATAAGTTTGGAGTACAAACAACTGGAATTCCTTGGAATTTCTTGGATTTTCTTAGAATTCTTTGGAAATCCTTGGAATTTATTGGATTTCTTAAAAATTTCTTGGAGATCCTTGGAATTCCTTGTGTGAAGAGCAGTATAAGTCTGGTGTACAAACAACTGGAATTCCTTGAAATTCCTCGGAATTCCTTGTGGAATTGAAGTTTGGTGTACACAATTTTGACAGCAATTTACCCCTGGGATATTAGTTACATATTTTATTCAACTAAATTTTTTAAAGATATTAGATACTATCCAATCTAGGTTTCTAGGTTTTTGTAATTCATCTGATTTGTCTTCACACATATTATTGAAATAATACTAATAATTTGATTTTCAGCAAGGAGGAGAGTAAAACCCCTCCTAAAACCCCAAAAGTATCCAGAGAAATTATTACAGGTTTACTTACATCAGAAATGTCATTTTCTGCCATATTAGCATCACTTATAGTCCCATTCTTCGAATGGTCAAAATCACCACCATTCATTCTCTGAGAGGGTCTCTCATCCTGTTCACCCATCCTTTCAACGTTTCTTATCTCTTCATCCACCTCATCATCACTCTCCTCATACTCATACTCGATTTCTTCCTCTTCTTCCTCTTCCTCAACTTCCTCTTCACTCTCAGAAATTGTGGCTCCTCCATTAGCTTCCATTGCTTCCCGATCTAAGTTAATACTTTCCTCAACAGTTTTTTCACTTGGATGCAAATCAACAAGAATGTCTGGTGAAGATTCTTCATTGATGTCAGAAGATATTTTTTCTTCAGTAACTGTTTCTTTCAGTTCTACTGGAGTGCTTTGGGCCAGTTCTTGTTCTTTGCTTTCTGCTTCTACAGATTTCTTTTCATTGATGGTGGATTTTTCAGTTGTTTCTTCAACATTTGTTTCAAGTGTATCTTGATTCAATGTCAGTTGCTTGATTTCCTCCATTTTCTGTTCTGATTCTTCAATTTCACCTTCCAATTTCAACTCATCTTCAGTGATCGGCAATTCCGGTTCTGAATAATTTTCTTTTAGTTGAGCTTCTCTATTTCCTTTTTCAGAATCTTCAACTACTCCTATTATTTCCATATTGGCATCTCCTTTGTTCTGATTGGTTTCGTCTCTTATTTCATCTAGCAAACTTTGCTTTACTCCGATATTTTGTGCTTCTTCAATTGCATTATCGATCTGTCCCAGCTGACAGTCAGCTTCGATTTTCTCAAAATCTTCAGAGGTATTGCTGCTGCTTCTTTCTCCGTTTTTGCCTCCGTTCGACGACTCGTCTGTCAAGTTATCTGCAAGAAGAAGAACATTTTTCATTGGTATAGGCTGGTCTGGATTTTTTCTAGAATAAACGATTTTTTTTCAGTCTGCATGAGGTTTGTTTTTTTTATGTGTAATAAGATGAAATTGATAATAGGGGATTTGTAAGATGTATTAGTATGACTGGAATATTATGGTTATTTTTTTGTTAGATTACTACATCTACTTTGACGAAAACATACCTAGTCATGAGATGTAAAGAAGCCTGCAAAACATTCTAAAATCACAGTTTCAGAAAATGAAAGATCAGTTGAATAAGGGTCATTTATTCTAGAAAAAGTTCTTATTTCAACATGAAACCCATTTATTGGCAACAAAAACAGAATTAACAATACAGTCCCTTAAAATCCAGTAATATTTCACAGTATAACTATCTTGCTAGGTGTCTAACTGCATTTTTTCATGTACTTACCGGAAGAATCGAGACTGATAACAGACAAGGTCATTTTTCCTGCTAGAACAACGGCTGGATCTTCTTCTGAGTTGACATTCTGAGCCTCCGTAGCAGAATCAGTCACCAAAAGATGTGACTGAGGAGGTAAAGAACCTTCCAAGAAAATTTCCTGTATAAAAAAATCGATTTCAATTGATAAATGTCAATTCTACGAAAGCATATAAGCGCCACATTATATTATATTTTTTTTATAGTTGACAGATACTAAGTGGTAAGACTAGTATTAATCTAGTAAGTAGCATAGTAGACAGATACTAACTAGTAAGTAGCATACTTGACAGATACTAAGTAGTAAATAAGTAGTATACTTGACAGATACGTAAGTGTCAATTAGCCTAATTGATAGATACTAAGTGGTAAGTAGCATACTTGACAGATACTAAGTGGTAAGTAGCATATTTGACAGATACTAAGTGGTTAGTAGCATACTTGACAGTCACTAAGTGGTAAGTAGAATACTTGACAGATACAAAGTGGTAAGTAGTATGCTTGACAGATACTAAGTGTTAACTAGTATACTTGACAGATATTTAAGTGTCAATTAGCCTAATTGACAGATACTAAGTGGTAAGTAGCATACTTGACAGATACTAAGTGGTAAGTAGCATACTTGACCGATACTTAAGTGTCAACTAGCCCAATTGACAGATATTAAGTGATAACTAGCCTACTTGCCAGATACTAGTTGACACTTAAGTATCTGTCAAGTATACTAGTTATCACCTAATATCTGTCAATTGGACTAGTTGACACTTGAGTATCTGTCAAGTATGCTACTTACCACTTAGTATCTGTCAATAGGCTAATTGACACTTAAGTATCTGTCAAATAAGCTAGTTAAGAGTTAGTATCTGTCAAGTATGCTACTCAGCACTTAGTATCTGTCAATTAGGCTAGTTGACACTTAAGTATCTACCAATTATGGAAAAAAAAATCATATGGCGCTTATACGCTTTCGTACAATTCACTGTGAAGATTTTTTTCATGTG